ATGCACATCGCAGCAAGCAATGGTCACTTGGAGCTGGTAAAGCACCTGGTCGCTGTGGGTGCTGATATAAATGCGCGCGAAGAGCTTGATGTAAGGAGGGATTAAAAGATTTGTAATTTTCCTGTCTCTGGTAAAAGTCTTTGTAATGTTTTTCTGCAAATGCCACGTTAGGATTTCTGTGCGAATGATCTTTATTTCGTGCCGGATGAGTGAGCTTCTCCAAAAACGTAGAATAAGGATTGAGGAAAACTGCAGAATCTCAGGATAACGCGCTCGGAATGTGAAAAATTTTTTATCCACACTTCGAGATCGTTCTCTACACGTTGAAAAGACTTCGGGGAGATTTTGCAGCTGTTTGAAGGGAGCTGTAGGGCTTTTACATTGGGCGAAGAGATCGCTCTGTATCTAGCCGAAGTTTGTATCAATTAAATGCTTCAAAGTGGTCAGGCAATGAACTGCTTCTACTTTTATTTTGCCGTCTTGATTGATCAGCGCGTCCAAGAACGCCAGCTTGGATGCGGTAAGCCACCGGGAGAACGAGGAAGATGAAGTGAATGCAACAGGGCGAGATAAGCTGAGAACGCTAGCGCGAACAGAAAATCTTTCAAGTATTTGCAAGGTGCAGCTTGCAGAGTGCGCCTTTGGAGGTTTTCGTTCAGGATCAAATACGGATGTAGAGACTAGTGAGAACACCCTAAAACGTCAAGGCACAATGACTGATATGGTCCTTGTGAGAATCTCCAACTCAGAACGGCCGTGTGGGTGTACTGAAGCATACACTCGAGGATAGATGACACGTAAGCCTAAGCAAAGGTAAAAACTTCAAAGAAACATTGCAGACTTCTATCCTCCTGTCTTTTACGAAAACGTGTTTTGAAATTTTTTTCGGATTCCCAATCTGAACCGTGCGCAACCGTCTTGTTCTCTTCTCGCCGCAGTAATGCAACGTTTGACAAGAAATAGAAAAAGATATGAAAATGATACCACTTTGAGCTCTCTCAAAAAACTAAAAGTTCGGCGACTTTACACGTAAGAATTATTCTGCAAAGATATTAGAAATCATTAGATTGAATTTTAAAAAATGTGAAAGATATTATACTTTTTATTTTAGTGGACTCCACTGCACATCGCAGCAGAGAATGGCCACTCAGAGGTTGTAGAACACCTGCTCGAAGTGGGCGCTGATGTGAATGCGACTGATGAGCGAAAGGTAAGAAAAAAGCTGAAACTTTTATAGTTTTTTATTTGTTGCTTACAAATTCTTAGGTATTCTATTCCGATCCCTCCCTGTGACAGTCTATCCTCGCTATTATATCTTTCTTGTACTTGTTCCGATATAGTCCTGACGATTCAGAACTGGGTGAAAATAATCAGCAAAACAACAGTACATTTATGTCGTGTGCTAAGAATCAGAA